CGAACAGTACATGACCTACTAGTATGTGCTGGAGTGTGTACTCGTTACTCGACGCGGTCCTTGTCCTTGGTGAAAGTTGACCAGTTTCCTGCAGAGGGAACTGTGTCCTGTGAAAGTGTGATGTTGATGGGTGCCTTTGCATCCTCAACAAATGACTGAACTGTGCACCGGTTCGGGTTGTGTACTGCTCAGAGGAGTCAGTTGGTCTCTGTGGATGAGGCGCCCGGATCGGTCAGTTGTAGCCAATTTCGGTTGGTGGTGATGAGCTTGCGTAGTGAGCAACGGAGAAGGGGACGGTGGTGACCATACAGGCCAGGATGGGATTCCTGGGGCCGAAGAAGTATGGTCTGCGCTTCATATAGGACGAGGTCCTAGAACTGAAATGGAAAGGCTGTGGTGGGAGAGGATGATTTGGATCTGGATCCCTCGAGCACAGTGTTGGCTGATCAGGGGACGCCCTGTGTCGAGGAGCCTGGTAGGCGAGACTCATCTGGGGATGATGAGTTGTTGCGAGTGAGGTCCCAATTTGCTCGTTACCGGATGGATTTTACTACGAGCTCTTTACCGATCTGGTTTCACAACTGTGTAGCACCATCGGATTGAGTGAATGCTTTATGTGCCTGGCACCTGGCGAGGAATTGTATTTTCTCGTGAGCAGTCAGTGATATTGTTCAGTCGTATGAGCCCGATACGAGTGATATGCTGTATTCGGCTGATGACATGGTGTTCGCACCAAAACCTGTGGTGGATTGGACTTGCATCCTGCATCTCCAGTTGACTTACCTATTGTATCCGTCGCGGAGCCTGGTGGATGACACTGGCAACGTCGCGGTATCTCACCGACTACCATATCGGTCGAGGATAGTCACGGGGACGTGATTCTTCAACGGCGGGGGAAATGTCACGTCCCAGAATAAGACAACTGCTGCCTGATAGTCCTGTGATAGCAGGATCTACATAGTGAGCAGCTCTGTGCTGAGCTGTCACGCCCTTTTAGTACAACATGGTTTGGCCAGTGTCTTGTCCCACGTGCTTAGCATGTAGGTTGAGCGACACGCGCTTTCCCACGTAGGTGACATGCCTTCTTGGCATGACACGTTATGGGATCCAAGGCCGGAACCTGGTCAGGTAGGTTCTCGCGTTGTACGTTTCCTGGAAGTTCTTCACTTCCTGGAAATGTGACCCCAGGCTTTGTGCAAAACCACGT